ATTTAATATTTATAACCATATCTTCTAAAACCTATGTTTAAGTGATATATAGTAACTAGATTAAATCGGAACCATCGTAATTAGATATAAATATGTGAAATAATAAGGTTACCCATGAAGTTTGGTTTGAAATTACAAAAGTAATTTAATTGCTAAATTAAGAGTACAATTTTAGAAACGGAAACAAAGCAATTTGAATTCCCAACTCAGCTTCAGTCTTCACAAACACGTTTAAGCCTCAATCTCTAAGCTTTCAAAGTCAAAACACCTTCGGTAAGCCCCATAAAATCTGTCTCAAATCTGACTTGTATCTCCAAATACATTTCCACCTAGACAATACCCCAGTTTTCCCTTGCCCAGAGAACGATTTCATTTATTTGAAAGAAAAACCAAAAAAAAAAGACACACACTGAGAAAATTGCAGAGCCTTGGCCTCTGGGGAGAGACAGCAATGGAGACAGGTTGAAAGGCCAGGCCCAGAGAAAGTGACAGCGGAAGTGCAGGAAAAGAAGCCATCATCACATAGTTCCCCTGTCCTTTTTAGCCCTGCCCCAAAGTGCAGTTTACCTAAGCCTGGACAGACAAAATGAGCGTTGCAATAAAATTTTTAAACACTCACACTTGGGGCAGGCATTTGGGAAAAAAAAGACAGCACAGGTTGAGAGGGGCAAAGTGTGTTGCCTTGGCAATTGCCTGCAAATGATGCCACAGCCGAGAATCTCAGACAGAAGATGACTACCTCGTTGGCAGGCGACAAGAAAAAAAGAAAGGCAGGCAGGAAATGGCAAAGAAAACCTCTAAGGAGGGCAAAAAGAAAATTGCCAAGTAGGGGAAAGAAAAGAAAATGAGAACACAGAGGCAATAGTTTACGTATTTAGGATTTTAGGATTAGGATTTTAGGAAAACTGCAAGATTAATCCTTTGATAGTTCTAATATAGCTATCAGATTTTTTAAATCTAATATCATTATTCAATATTTATCTTAGAATTTGACTTAAACTTTCTTTCTTCATTAAATTTTTCCCCCAGTGCACTTTAAAAGGCAAAAAGGATAAAAGCCAGTCAGGCGGTCTCATCTTGCACCTCTGACTTGAAGTTTCCTTTGGCCATCGACAAACTAACCGCAGCTGTTGCACCTGTCTACATAGCTCACCTTTGTCTCCCCTACCTTCTGGATTACCTCCCTTACCCTTTTTTGGCTGCTTTACATTTTTGTGGCAAGGATGCAAACTTGTATCCTTTGCATGCGGGCTACCCGCACCAGCCGCATGCCACAACTTTGAAGGCAAACAGATGTTCGTCGCTCGCTTGCATATGGGTACGTGCTTCTCCCAACCCCCTTCCCCCTCTAACCACACCCATTTGCAATATACACCCCAACCGTCTCCCCACCCCCTCATCAAAGTGGGTGTGACATTAAATGTCGCTTAATTTGAGTGCCCCTTGGCAGCAGCAGATGTTGCCAATGGGATTCGGTATGGCAAGGATGCTGGCAACATTTTGCCACTGCGGGTTCTTGGCTGCATTAGAAAACCGCAAATGCAGAGGAAAACGAGAGGGAAAATCATCATCAGCCAGGAGCATTATTCACACACAGGAATGTCAGAGAAGTGGGAAATAAATTCTCGACATTTTTCAGACATGAATTGCAGTTGCATTTTTGGAATTTATCGATTTGTAATTGAGTCAGAGCCAAGAGCTGAGGGAATTTCGGCAATAAAGTGTCATTAAATAATGTCATTTGGTTGCTTATTTAAAAAATAATTAAAATGCATTTGTGGAAATTAATTCCAAAGACATAATGCCTAAAATAATTGCTTGGCTATAAATATCTAACAATAAAAGAGAGCGAAATAGTTGACATTTCCTTAATAAATCTGCTTGTTTTTATAACTAAATAAGTAAATAAAAACAGATAATAAATGACATCAATTTTCTAATTAATTTATAACCTTCACTGTAATAACATTAAATCACAATTCTATGACATAATTTCTGGCACTCTGCGACAAAATGCAAATTGAAATGCAATTTCGATTGGTGAATTAAAAGTCATTACAGCTCTGGCTATCAACGCAAATTTATGCAATAAATATGCAAACCCACACAATGGTTATGCAAACAGCTGCAGGCGAACGAACACCCACCAAAAAAAAAAAACCCCCTTAACCTACTTCCGGTTTGGTGGTGAAAGACAGAGGGAGTGGAAGATAGCATAAATTCCATTATTTATTCATTAATTTAAGACCCAACCAGGCCTGAACTTAATCAAAATTTGCTTCCTCTCTCGCACATTCCATAATCGTAGTTTCCATAGTTTCGTTATTTGATTTCTGTTCTGTTCTGTTTCGGGCAATTTAATTAAGCACTCGGCCTTTTTGTTTCTAGCTGCCAGGCGGAAAACTGCATTTCCCCGACCTTATACGTGAAAATCCACAAAAACCAATTTGCAACTTTAATGCACACACAAACACACGGAGGCGTGGAACTTCCACCGACACGCCCACTGAAAAGCAGTGAAATATCCACTGACATGAGCCTGCAACTTTTACCTTTGCTCCTCGATTTTTCCCCGGATTATTTTCCTATTTTTTTTTTTTTTGCTTTTGCTTTGACTGCATCTAACTGGGTAAAGAGAAGCCAAATTGGGTTAAAACCATAATGCCAAAGTATTAATGTTGCACTTAGGCGGAGGGAGGGGCTTTCCGGGTGGTGAAACCGCAAACATGAACCGGTTTAGGTAACCGTTACCTGTATATATATGTGTATGTGTATATATATATATATATATATGTATGTGGCAAACATGGCAGAAAACATTTGCCAACTGCCATGAGCACAGACTGCAATGGAAAGCCTTTCTCTGGGGCCCCGGCAATTAATGGCCCGAAAGGAAAAGCGGAGAAGGGGGGCAGCAATCGGAAGTTCTAACTGCAGGTGTTGGGCACGCAAATACCCTTGAGGTTGATATATATAAATAATTAAGGACTTATTGCAATAGATTTATATAGATGACAAGGATTTCGAGAGGAAATTATATTAATTTGAGTTTCTGTGATAAAAACTTGATTTTGCTTTTAATTGCAGGTAAAATTATAGATTTTTTTTAGGTATTTTAGTTTTATTATTATTTTTAACCTATTTATTAGAAAAGGCATTTTCCTAACTTAATTTTCATGAACCTTTTTAATAACAACCAAAACCAAACCAAGGTAGTTGATATCCTTGTAAAAACGTTTCCCTCTGTGAAAAGCAAACACCTGCTCTCAATTGTTAGGCCCGGCACGAGGGTAATGGAAATTCGGAAAACGCAGGTTGAACATGGAATATTTGCTTGCCTACGCTGGCACACGGACACACACACACACATGCATATATTAGCAGGATATGCACCTCTCTCTTTTACGTACCCTTCCCATATCTCTCATTCTCTCTCTCTTTAACGCACTGGCAACATGAATATTCGCATAAACAAATTTACACGAACGAAGCTGCAACACTTTGGCATTTGCCAATTGGAGTTTCGAGTTCGCATTTGTATTCATGTGTGAGTGTGTGCGTATCACTGCAGGAGTGTGTGTGTGTGTGAGTGGCTTTTGGAATGGTTTCTGCGGGAAATAATTTACTTATTGCAAATATTTCACATCCAAAAGTTTTTAAGGTGAACGGAATTTGTGTGCATAAATCAAAGTCGCTCATGCTATAAATTTACTTTGGAATGAAGACGTATTTAATTTCAGAAAACGAACTTCAAAAGTGTTTTTAATTTTTATTAATATATGTATAATAAATGTACTTTAAGCAAGCCATATAAAAACTTAAACTTGTAAAGAACAAAATGCATCGAGAGAGAGAGAGTAAAAATGATTTTTCAGCTTTTTAACCCACAATAACACTTATTGACATCGCTTAATTGCGCGAAAAGGAAACAGTGGAACTGCATTAATGCAATCATTCCTTTTCAGTCGATAAAATGGAATTAAAAAAATGCCAATTAATCCTATCAGTTGTCAGCCATCAGAATTTAAGTGGACAATCAAGCTGAAAGCTGTCATTAATGAGGTTTCAAGGCTTATCCTTTTGACACAATGCTGATTCGCTTTTTATACGATATTTATTATCTCGATTTCATGTTTTTTTTGTTTAAATTAAATGGAAATTTCTCTGACAGAGTTTAAAGGGAATTCTGCGTTTTAAGTCTTTTCTGCTTTTAATGACTTCTCATTGATTTAGAATTTTCCTTGACCAAACAACACTGCAGATGTTGCATCATTTGGCTTGCACTTTGCCATTTTCATTTCCATTTCCCTGTCTATAACTGCGGCCAGACTTAGGCCTTTCCCCCCCCCCGAAAATGGCTTACACATTACGTGCATAAGAGCACTTTGCTGGCCATTTGCGTTTTGCATTTTAGACTGGCTTTCAGGGGGAGGTCCTAAACCCCCTCTCCGCTTTTCTGGGATTATGTCACTGGCATGCAAGCGATATCAAACCAACCAACGTATAGGAAAAAACTAGCTTGAACCGCACTTGACTTTCGTTTTAATTAGAAATGGGAAAAACCAACCCCGTTTTTACATGTGAAGCTCAATGCAAAGGTTAGGCAAGTTTTTTAAAGGAGGTTCATGGAAAAAGTTTATGGGGAAAAGTGTTGGAAAGTCATTGGAAAATTGTAAGGTATTTTCTTAAGGCTAACAGCTTTATAACCATTTTTGTTTCAGTTTTATCCTTTCTTTTTGGCGACAACCTTTTTTATAAATAAATATTAAAACTATATAAAATATTAATCAGTTAGTTATAATCCAGAGTTTTATTCTCTGTGCACCGTTTGAGCTATTTTGGGTGGAAGCGGAAACGGAAGCACTTGAGAATGAGCGCCATATTGCGCATACGCCGCATTAGCCAACGTCAAATAAAGCAACCGAATTTGAATTTGATGCACCCGGCACAGGGCGACCTAAACCATGTCATTTTTTCTCTTTCTATCAAAAAAAACTCACCTGAGGACGAGGACTGCGAATGGCGCATTGTGGTGGCCATGGCAATGGAATTTATTTCCGATTCCGGCGACCACATTATGATCTCACTTCCTTTTTGCACTCGGCTTTCCAATTAATGCACCTATATATCTGGCTTACTCACAACTTAATGGCTAAGTCATGTTTGCCACGGGTTTTTTTTTTTTTGTGTTATTTTGTAATTTTTAATTTATTAAAAAAGTTTCGCTCGTAAAGTTTTGACATATTTCATGCATAGCTGCGGATTACTAACGACCGAAGGCAGCTGATGGAGGCGGGAGGGAGTGGTTCCCGCTAACAAAACTATATATATATATAAACACACTCTTCGCATAAGTTTGGTAAAAGTTTTATTGAAAAAGAATTATAAAAAAAACGGAGACTCAACAAAAAAATTAACAAAAAAAAATTGTGAAAGAGAACAAGCTGAAAATTTATAATGAAAGGAAATGGATTTGCCAATGGCTCTTGCTTTGCGGAAGCTACAGAATTAAAGTTGGCCCAAGCGAAATTAGGTGATGACACTGCGTTACAAAAATGTAAGGCTTTTGGGGGTAAACATTAGAAACATTTTAGATTTATTTAGGAACACAACTTTAAGAAAACAGTTTAAGGGTTTAATGTTGAAACCTATCACCTTTTTATAAAGAGCTAAAATATTTCATTTCAGAAACGCACTGTAAGCTGCATTATAGTTTTTACCAGTTTCCTTTTCATTTTTCCTCCTTTTTCCTATTTCCTCCTCTAATTTTGCAGCAATTTTCGCTCTTTGTCTGCCAAGAAAATATATATGAAACTTGCCAAAAGCTTAAATCAAAACGAAAGTTTATTCTCTCTCCTTTCCCCCTGCCAATTTTCCTCTGCCATTTCGTGTCATCCTCCTTTTCTCTAATCCAGTGCCTTTATGACCGCCATTAGCTGGCAGGAAAAGTCTCCTTCCCCCGTTCAGCCCTCCCGCAGTCTTAATTTTAAACACATTTTCAAGTGGCAAGTGCCAAATGACAGTGGCAACGAAACAACAACACCATCGATCTGCATCCTTGGAAAAAGATGGGGTGAAAGTGGGTGGAAAACAAGGGAGAACTAAAGGCGTTTGATGGCATTGTAAATACACACACACACACACCTCCCTACACCCACTACTACTGGCCTGCCTCAAATTGCTGTCATTAACTTAAAAGTGCAAGAAGCAACAAAAGCAGGGACACGGAAAGAAAACCAGAATTATTAAGGTCTTAAAGTTAAAAATAAACATTTTTTTTAGCATTTGTCTAGTTCCTAGCGATAAGTTTATTTTTCCAGTGGATCAGAGACAAAAGTTCTTCTTTGCTGTTGACCTGACAAGGACAACTATTCCAGATCTAGTATACATGTACCTCGACATATATATATCCAAGCTAGCTCACTACATTGCGTGCCCTGTTTGACTCGGGTTTTCTCCTTTTTCTATATAGTTACGCGATGTTTATTTACACAGCTGAGACTCAATTACAGTCAAGTGTGTAAGACGTGAGGGGGAAGACTAGTAGAAATAGTGGAGATAGCAGTGAAAGGGGGCTGTAGACGTCTCTAAAGAGAAATTGCTGAGAACAGCTCAATAAAAACTACAAACGATTTGCGCGTGCCATCTCGACAGGGATAATAAACAAGCAAGTTTGCAGTCGACGGGACAAAAACAGATAAATTGGCAAGAACTTTTGGGCAGCGTAAAAGATGTTTTCCCAAATGAAAGCAAACGAATTCAAAAGATAAGTGTTTCAAATGTTTTCAATAAATAATCAGGTACCTAAAAGGCTTCATAAATAACAGGAAAAACTATTGATTGATTTTAAATTAACTTATAACTCAAATACAGATCACTGGCAATCGATTTCAAGAATGAAAATTACTTTAAAATTCCAAAACCCTATGACTTTCAATTTCTCTCTAAAGAATCTTCAACTATCTCTCATCCAAATCTTTAGATATCTTTTCTTTAATCCCATTCCCTTTGCCACTGGGCAATCAAATCCTGTCGTTGGCTGCCACATCGATGTGCAAAAGTCACCCATCTTGATTCTTGGGCCTGAAAGGAAAAACCTCTGACCAAGCTTGGACAGGGCCAATATTTATTGATGGCACTCTCGACATTGACAGTGGGGCAAAAACGTGAGCGAAAATTATGCGGCATCCCCCTTTTTGCCCACAGAAGTCAATAATTTCGTAACAGCCACCGAAGGCAGCTTCCCATCGTCATCATCATCATCATCATCACTATCATGGGCAAGGTGGCCATTGATGGCGCCATTTTTGTTTTTGTTTGGCCAGCCAATATGCGATTTGTACTAGTGTATGTGTGTGTGTAAGGTCCTGCTTCTGTGTGCGAGATGTCTGGTAATGTGAGCTGACAAAACTTTCTCTGTGTGTCTGGCATTTGTTTGTCTGCGCTCGTGTGTGTTTACTGTCGGAATTTGTAATGAAAGTGAGCTGTTCATTTGCTTTGGGGTCATCAAATGGCCTAAACACACTGGCAGAAAATAGGAAACAATTATTATTATTTATTTTGCTAAAATTTTGATTAATAAAACTTTTTGAATAAATTTCTGTACTACTACATTCATATTTATGCTCAACTCAGGTTAAAGATTTTAATTGTAATTTAAAAGTAAAAAGGTTTTTATATGTAATATAAAAACTAACACTACTGATTCAAATCCCATTATAGGATTTTCCTTAGTGCATGTCCAATCTGCCCTTCATTTACCATTTCCCTTTCCTTTTCCGCCTTTTGTCTTGCGTGTAAAGTAAATGTTGGCTCATGCCATATTTTGTTGTTTTACGAACCGCCCCAAAAAAAAAAATGAAACACTCAAGTAAAAAATAGACGAGGCAAGCAACAAAAAAAGGACAAGTCAGGCCTATGCTAACCATAACTTGTCATAAGTCCGAGGGGGTTCTTGAGTTCTCAGGTCGAAGATACGAGTAGAGCCAAATATAGGCATGATACTGAAACTTTTATGACTACAAATTTCTTTAGTGCAAAGCCGGGTCGAAATGCGTACTTTATGTTAATGCCCAGTGCAGGATGAAAAAAAGGGGAGAGGTTTTTAGAGGGGCAGGGAATGAGTTGAGGCCGGGAAAGTCGCAGATGGAGAATGACTAAAGGCATTGGGGGAAATGCGGCGAGATTGAGAGACTGCGGCAAAGTTTGTGGTACCGCGGATGTCTGAGTATATTGGGCAAAAAACTATAAAAATGGAAAAGGATATGAAATCTTATTTATATTTGATTGGCTTGTCTACCAAATTGCCAAATAAAATTGTTTGCAAATTTCAAAAAACATTTTTTTAATTTCTGCCTAAAAGTAGGGAATATAATTTTAAAAGGAAAAATGATTATTTTCAAAACAAAATAAATGTACCAGCAAATTAATTATCTCAGGACAAAAAAGAATTGCTACATCTACTAATCAAACCTTAAAATTTTAAATATTTTTCACCTAGAGTAGTTTTTTCCAGGGTATCACAAAAAATGAAAACCTTTCCCCATAGTCAGTTCTAAACTGTTTTTCATTTTCTTCGGCTTGCTCACTTTTTTTTTGCTGCTTTCCACCAACTGTTATGCAAGTTGAAAATAATCTTTTGCGTTGAAATGCGCAAATGTTTTTTGTTTTTCCCCACACGCTTTGTTTGCTCATTCAAGGACGCAACAAAAGCAACCAACAATATGATAATTTTCGCAAAGAAGGAGACGACTAAAAACCCAAAACGAGATGTTGGGAAACTTGGCTGCTGCATTATAATAATTGTGGCTGACAAATGCGACAAAAACAAAAGCGCCAACAAGGATATGCCACAAAATGCTGTCGAGGGCCATGGCAATAATGATAACTAACCGCAGAAGAGCGCCTCCAGCGCTGAGGAGACATATAATAGATAGATGCAGTGGGAATTCGATAACAAGAAATTAACATAAGTATACTGATTTAAAAATCACTACAAATGGATTCCTATTTTCCTTTAACTTGAGGAAATCCGGAAAAACTTTAGATTTTAAATTTATGAACAATTAAAAGAAGAGCAATCAATTAATATTTGAGCTAATTTAGATTCTAGACAAAATTCCAGAAAATTATAAGAATATCTGCTTTATGCACTTTTCACTGTAGATAGTGTGTGTGCGAGAAGGATGCCTACAGGAGGCGCTTTTACGCCCTGACATCTTTGGCCTACATAACAAAAACAGTTGCAACTGTTACAGGACCCAGTGAATGAGAGTGAGGGAGAAAGAGCACACTACACAGCGAAAGGATGTGTGCTAGAGGGAGAGAGAAGGATACGAAGGGAGGTAGGGGGAAATAAAGAAAGTGAGTGTGTGCGAGAGGGAGGGAACCACAATGAGGCCTCTTGTTATTTGCACATGTGTACCCCTTGTTGTTCCTTGTCTGCCTTACGATGTTTGTTGCTTTTTTCTTGGTGTTTTTGTTACTGTTTTGATGTCTTTGTTGTTTTTCTTACGGGTTTGTTGGATTTTTTATTGTTTTTTGTTTTGTTTTGTTTTCTGTCTCTTGGTACTTGTGTCATTTTTAACTGCTTGCGAGTCTCCACAGGCTCTCAGTTGGGGTATAAAAACCTTTTAATTTGCTCAGCCGCGTACTCCATAACCCCAGCCCCCGTTCAACCCACCCACTACACTCTTCTCTCGACAAAACAAGCGCAATTTCCTTTTAATTTTCTTGCAAGCCGGAATGAAACAAAAAATAAAAGAAAGGAAACCAAAAAAGGTTTTCGGTCTGCAAACGAAGAAATGGAAATATTTTGTTTGCTTTCTTTGCCTCCGACGGACATTGGTAAATGTTTACCAAACAATTATTTCCACTTTTTGTCGCACAAACTATATGCTTCCGAATCTCCACTTTCTTGCCATTTCCTTCCTGTTTTTCTCTGTTCGACTGGACAGCCAATTTTGTTTGAGCCGCATTTTTGTCTTTATGGAAATATGCAAATGTTTGTTTTACAGTGATTTCATTTTTTGTCTATCTCAGCTTTATCAACATTCTTTGGCCGTTGACGTTGGGTCTATTTTCGGCAACGGAAATCGAAGTGAACGATTTGTCGGCAGTTGATCAGCGCGGTTCCATGGTGTAATGGTTAGCACTCAGGACTCTGAATCCTGCGATCCGAGTTCAAATCTCGGTGGAACCTGAGAAAGTTTCTTTTTTTTCGCGTGGCTCGTCTTAATGCTTTTGTATTATTAAAAGATATAAAATAACACAGTCCCCTTTATTAGGCACGCACATTTTTCTTAATTATTAGACATATGTCTTGAACTAAAAAAATTAATAACCTATCTTCTAGGAAATGTATGTTTTTTTCATATTTTACCAACAAAAAATTCAAGTTTAACTTTCAGAAAATTTTTCTACATTATGCATTTTGTATAATTCTTTAAAATATATGAAATATTTTCCATTATATAAGAACTGGTTGGACAACCTTAGCCTGACCTATCCCCAAACATCGGTACATACATTCATTATACAAATCATTCCCCAAATGCCACTTTATGCATAATTGACCGCACAAGACCCTTTTTTGCTCTCGTGCTGTTAACTCATTAATTAATATGCAGGTCAAAAGTAAATGCGATTTAAAGGTTAAGCGCGTGTGTAGGAGAGGAAAATTGCGAGGCGAAATCGGTGGAAAATGGTAGGTGCGGCAACAAGAATTCGAGTGGACATGAACATGGTCAAGTGTGAAATGAAGAGAATTGGGGAGAACAGTGTCATCAAAATTAATTGGCAATTAATTCTTTATGAGCGGGGCGATCTGTCTGAACACAAAAAAAAAAGGGAAAACCGCTACAGCAACAAGAGTCAGTGACAGTTGGAGGAACAAAAATAACAAAAACACAGGGCTGAAAGGAAGTCACACTGAGAAAAAATCATATTCCAAACGGAAAATAAAAAGGTAGTAATAAAACTCAAAAACAAAATGAAACTTTTAAACTCGTTAAAAATAAGAGTGACTATAATTATTATAATGTCAAATAAAATATTTTGCTTATATATGTTTCAAATATTTTTCACAAAACATTTCGCTGAGCACACACACTGAACAAACTGAGGATGAGTCAGTCAGTTTATTTAGATAGGATAATGGAACACACGAGCCGAAAACACAACGGAGCCAAGTTCTGGAGGAGGTTGGAGACCTATAAAATAGCTGCGCACTGAAGTGTGACGAAGAGTGGGGGTTAATTCACTTCCCCCCGCTCACATCAACAATAAAAAATTAATATGCCTAAATGTGGAAAATTGTTCCGCGCAAAATTTGCTTTCTGCATGCATTAATTTTGGACCCATTGTGTATTAGCAGAGATTAGCCATGGATCATTAGCTTTGAGTGGGTGTCTCAAAGGAGGGGAATTCAAAAAGAAAAACACGTGCTTCCTTATATAGGTTAGGGCTCTTTTTCGTGGCTGTATTGTCCTCGTTGTCACGAAATGTTTTGACAACTTTTGCATGGAATGGAAAATGTGAAATGTGAGGTAAAATATGAGCAAAAACTGAACGCGATGTAACACAACAAATCATAACTTTTGACGTTTTTCGGCCATTTATATTAGGCTTGTTATTGGTTTTATCTGTTTCTGTTTTTGTTATTTTTGTTTTTGCTGTTGTACCAAAGAAAAACGGGGAAAAAACGCGGCGGTTTCCCAGGCGTTTGGAAATGTGAAACCAGCGCGCCTCAAAGTAAATCCAACACTGAGCATTTAAGGACATTTACGATTGATTTTATACCGAAAGCCACACTCCGAAAACTGAATCCGAGTGACACAGAAAACGCTCGGATCCAGCGAAGGGAGCCGAAAATATACGAGGTCCCGATTCGGAGAAAAGAGCTTTTGCTGCATCCTGAGTCCCTCCATTAGGACCCACACCGTCGCCAAATCCAGCAGGTTGTTTTTTGTTTGGCGCGCTTTATTAAAATTATATTATCATTAGACACGGCACCATGTGCTTAATTAGCTTATTTCATTACTACGAACCAGCCAGAAGGAAGAGATTTAAGTTAACTCTTTTAACTATATTCCTAAAAACCTCTTTTTTCCCTAATTGCTTTTTTTCCCCCGTTTTGATAAATTGTGATGGATTGAAGAGTAACTAAACTAACGGTGCTAAAAGTTTTGCAAACATAACAAATAACCTATATCTTTTATCACTAAATGATGATTTAAATCTATAATCTGTATAATCTATTTTAGAAAAAGAATATAATTAATTTAATATATAATTAATATTTAAGTTTTAAGAATAATGTTTGTATTACGTAATATGGGTATAAAAAGGTTCATAAACCATGATAGATACATCACTGATACGGAATAAATAAGGTTAAAGAATTTCAACAGCTGGAGTTCAAAGACAAGTTTATCAAGCATTTTTTAGCCACGGCAGAAGAATCGTTTTTAATTATCTTTTGGCGCTCCGCCAATCAGCAGAAGAACAATAACAACTCGAAAGACCTATTGATAGATGGGAATTTCTGTAAGCAACTTTCTCTTCTATGATCACCAGGTGTTAAGTTGGCTAGATTCATTGGAAAACTGGCATTTGGCTAAATCACCTTCATAGAGGTTCTATGGTGTAATGGTTAGCACTCAGGACTCTGAATCCTGCGATCCGAGTTCAAATCTCGGTAGAACCTATACGACAGATTTTTTTGTATTTTTTTAATTTTGGTAAATATACATATTAATATTTAAGTTTCCAAAATAAGATAATAATACATTTAAATCTCAAATAAATAGTGTTCATCAGTCACTGTTTTTGAGTCTCTTTAGAAAAACGGAAGATCAGCGAGGTTCCATGGTGTAATGGTTAGCACTCAGGACTCTGAATCCTGCGATCCGAGTTCAAATCTCGGTGGAACCTGAATTAGGCTACTTTTTTTTTTTAATTTGAAGAAAATTTCAGTATTTAAATAGTAGGAATTTTCATTCCGTTTTTTCCCAACTAATAACAAGATTTTATCATAGCACGTGTTAAGAAAGCTTCAAAAGCTCGAATCATCAACAAAGTACCGAAAGTTACAGTGGGCGGGAAAGAAAGAGAAGGCGAGAGACCCCAACCAGCAAATACAACAAATTAAAAATATAAACAAAGCCAGAGGCAACGACTTTATACCTACGATAAGCCATAGTGCAACGGCCTTTCTTTCTTTTAATTATTTGGCAATATAGTTATAATTTATGGACTCACCTTTATCGCGAAATAACTGCTTATAGGACGAAAGGTTCTCCGAATCCAGCCATTCGTCGACGGAGGGGAGGGGCGGGGAACTGTGGGAAGCGGTGGGATGCGAGGACCAAATCAATAACACTATCTTTACCAGCGAAACGGTAAACATCAAACTCAACACCACGGCAATTAGGACTTTTAACGAGCGTTTCAACATAATCATAAGAATCCCGATTAAACGCGCAACCCTCTCTTTCTAGCAGCAGACCACAATTTTTGTTTTGGCGCTACTGGAACAATAAGTAAACGAGAACCGAGTAAAAAACACTATCCATAGCCACACACGATAAACAAGGCGGGCATAATTTCAAGAGGTATTAAATTACGTTTGCTGAATGATTTATGCAGAAAAAAGCGCAGTGTTGTGCGAAAATGCAGCGAGAGCAAAAATAAATGCACTGCGCTGCTTCTTCTTCTTTTTGGCTGCAACTGTCATTACCAAACGAATTCGGTATTGCCATTCACAATAATAGCTAACAACAGCTGCTTAGCAGTGACACCAATCACTAAGCAGATTCATAAACCAAGACAAAGCACAAGTTTTTTAAGTATTATTTCGAAAAAATTAAAACTATAATATATTAAAATTGCACAAAAATTGTTGTATACACATATAAATACTTTTTATTAAAGTTTATTCAAAAAAAAAATTATCATCTCAGGTTCCACCGAGATTTGAACTCGGATCGCAGGATTCAGAGTCCTGAGTGCTAACCATTACACCATGGAACCGCTTGACGGTGTTTTGTCAAATCACACAATTGTTTTACAACAATCAGAAAAATGCTTATTCGACGATTTAAATTGTTTGATTGGATAGAGATTAAGAAATGAATATTTGTTTATAAAAAATGATTAAATCGCATTTTATTTAATACTTATAAACAAAAATTTTAAAATTCTGAGGCATATATAATATAAAATCTAAATGAGGTTATATAAGTCACATTTAAAAAGTGATAAAAGTTAAAAACGTTGTTTTAATTTAATGTTTTTGTCAAAATTAAAATTAAAAAGTTTTTTTAATGATTTGGTCAACAAAAATAAAAAAAAGTTAAATCTAATCAGGTTCCACCGAGATTTGAACTCGGATCGCAGGATTCAGAGTCCTGAGTGCTAACCATTACACCATGGAACCGCTTGCCTTTCCGTCGACCAAAGCAGCTGAGAACTTTCGCTGGCCCTTGATGCTGATTTTTTTAGATGAAAGTTTTAATCCCAGATTGATGGTCATCAAATATGAATACTAATCATTGCTCTTCAACATTTTATTTGTTCAACTTTTGTATTTTTTTTTGATAATTTTTTTAAGCACTTATGACTATTTTGATTTGCCAGCGCGCGCATTTTCCATAATCCGTATTCAGATGCGTAATCACGAGTCGTTGGTTGGTTTGCATTGTCCGGAGCACTTAACCATAGTAGGAGTAGGGGGAAGCGTAGTATCCGCCGGAATAGGCGTACGGGCTAGCACCATAGTAGAACTGTGGGGCAGGCTCGGGGCTAGCAATCGGGATTGGTGCAGGATTGGCACGGGGAACTGGTGCGGGAACAGCCAAAGCAACGGCGAAGAGGGCAGCGAAAACAACGACCAACTGGAAGTAGTAATCAAAGTGATATATGGGATTAAAGTTTGTAAGTAACCATTTTCTGGAAAGCTATCATTTTTAAATTTCTCCTTCAACTTACCAGCTTGAACATTTTGATTTTTTAGATTTTCCTTGAGAGGACTTGAGATGCTTCTATAGCGATTGCAATTTGTGATTTGATGGTGTTCTTCACTTGTCAGCCGTCTTATATAGTCCTCAGCCAGACGGAAATTCGCACTCATGACTTATTTATGATGTCGCACTTCTAGACTCTGATCGGATTTATGGTCATTTCTGTTTTGCTCACATCATTCGGCCATAGTTTGTTTTCCTTTTTTTACTGCCATAGTTTTTTGTCAACCCAAAACAAAAATTTCCTTCGCATTCTAATGACTTCTTATTTTCTGACGATCTCTGATGATGGAATCGCTTAGATATAGACTGGCCTTGAACGTGATTTTAGCCAGAGACTGGAGAATATTTCTAACTACGCTTATTGCATTTTAATTGAGAATTTGTGGTCTCGAATTTGGGCTACCATTCAGGTGATTGATGTTTTGTGGACATTGTCTGTTGTACTGAATGAGATAGGGAATTAAGTACTGTTTGAAGCTGTTTTTATAAAGATTACAATTGTTTGTTCATTGAAATAATAATTGTAATTATCAATCAATTGCGCAGTAAATTTAATGGAGATAAGTGGGATTAATATATACTATTTGCTGGATTTTTAAATTTGAAATATGACCATAAATACGTAAAAGTAACCTTATTTTAAGCTATCTTTATGATAAAATCAAAAAAGTGTATATATATATTTTATCCCAGAAGTACATTTTTTGTTTTTAAAATATTTTATTATGAAATAAAAAAATAATAGTAATATTAATTTAAATTATTAGTAAACTTTAATGCAGTATAAGCAAAAAAAAGGGGTTTATTGTTATTAAATCAATTAAAATGATTGTTTTATTTATTCTTTTTCACTTTTAACTTAATTTAAACTTTTATTCTAATCAGAAAAACTTTTAAAAATTTTGGCAGAGATAGGTTTAAAAGCTTCCTAAGTCAACAAAAATACTACTCTTTCAATATTAAGTAACAAAAATTAAAAGACCTCTTTTTTTCATCGACCCAATTTATTTTCACTTACTTTAAAATTCTATTAACAGTGCTAAAGCCCTTCCAGAAGCAAATCCTCTTAGCTCATCGACTTCTATTCCGGTTGCAAGTGTATTGCATAAAAATTGCGAAATCATGTATTCTTAAACTCCAAAATCGATCGCAATGACAATAAAGCCAAATGTTTGCCAGAGGCCAAAACGAAACCAAAAGCTGATATAAAAAAGAGTCAACGAAAGGAGAGTGAGTTGACAAATAAAACGACACACATTTTGGGGTTTCGAGGGGGTAGGAGTTTCGTATGGAAAGTGGATTTCTGGGCGGAAGAGGGAGATACTTACTGATGATGATGGTGGCGATGTCGTCAGGCAAACAGATTAAGAAACAATAACGTTCTTTGTGCCGCGTACATTTGGCAGGCATTAGGCGAACGCGTTAAGAGCCGTAATGAGCCATAAAGTTGGCCGGCGGGAATGCATATGGAATATCAAAATGCGATGCAGTCAGCGATGAAATGGCAAAAGCGGCTTAGATCCGCCTCAAATCACCAATGTTTGGGAATATAAAAGGCTGCAATCGAGCAAACATCGAGTGCAGTTCGATTTTGTTTGTCAAGTCGAGAATTAACCCTTTCATCATCATGCTGAAGCTGGTGAGTGTTTGTATTGCCGTAGGACACTCGCCTTTGATCCTGTAATCGCTGAATGATGGCTCCAACCTTTTTTTCCCCGCCCACAGGTATTGCTCTTGCTCGCCGCCCTGTTGGCTGTTTGCTATTGCTGTTCCCGCTCCAGGTCCCAATCCTGCTCCGGTGCCCCAGTTTATCTACTCCGCCGGCTATCCGGCCGTGGGCTATGCCTCGCCCTACGTCTACTACGGCTGATTTCAACATAAGGATTCACTGAATAAAGCTTTTCGATATGGACATGAAAAACTAGTTTGTTTTAATTAATCTTTAATGTGGATAACTGATCTTTAAAAAATAGTAAACAAATACTGAATTATTTAAAAATAAATAAATTAAGTTCCCTAAATACCTAAAAGAACTGTGTAAAAGGTCATAATTTAAGTATGAATGTTTCGAATGGAATTTGAAAGCCCAAAAGAAGGTGATGGAGAAATAAAAAGCTGTTTTCATGAGGTTCCTGAAGTAAGCTTTTCAACAAAAGGACAAAATCCGTACAGAAAATGTTAATTTTCATAAATATACTCTGAAACTTGGTTTTATTTGACGACAACATTGTCCTCTTAACTGTTATAAACTCTAGAAACCAATTTATCCTTAAGCCAAATGTACATAAAGCTAAGTCACATCCTTTCCTATAAAAGCTTCTCTTACCCCACCATCAAGTTCAAAGTTCGCTTTTCACCACCAAATATCCTTTCCCCTGAAAAAACCCTCTGGCAACCTTTCGAACTGAAAATGTTTAGAAACAAATGCTTATAAACATGTTCCTGACTGAAGCGCCGACGGAAAGTGTGCCAACATAGCGAAGTCCCTAATAGAAGAAGTTTTCCCTTTTCGGTTCGACTTCCTGGCGATGGGACAAAAAGGATGTGGCAGGACGAGCGATGACTTCAGTGTACTTTCTGATTTCGCAACGGTTCGAACGTGAGCGCGGCTGCAATAATCGAAGGTTTCCCACTTTTAGGGAAGTCATCCCGAGGACTACGTACTCGCAACTCGTACTCGCACTCGTACTCGCAACTCGTACTCGCACTCGTACTCGCACTTCGTCAAGCATCCGCCGCCGTGGATGCCGAATGTCCTGCGGTGCACTTTTAGTCGAATCTCGACGTTCGCCTGCAATGGATCATGGGATTCCCCAGCGACGGCTTCGAAAGTCAGCCAAGTAGAGCGCGAAAATTAAACGTAAAATCGTTGTAAATCGCTGGCAGGATATGTTTGCCGGATATGTCAACCTACGCGGGCCACTCCCTCCACCTAGTGGCTTCCTTCTACGATCCGAGTGCTTCCTCAAGTGCTAGTGCTTAAGAAGAAGATAAAAAATATAAGAAGCTGGAAGGCCAAGAACCACAAAACAAAATAGCCAAAAAAAAAAAGGCAAAAGATATAAAGCAAAAATGTTGGCCATGAGCTGGATGATGATGTCATGCCATTGTCCTGGCCAAAAGTGAAAGTGTTGTTGCTACTTTTCCGGCTACCGTTGACACATGAGTGGCTCAGTCATGTGCTATTATCCCTCAAGTGAACAGCCTCGTAATTAACTGCTAAAGTTAAACCACACAATAAGAAAACGTGTAATAAACTCACTGCTAAAAATAGAGAATTAGTGAAATTCACCATTAAGGATTATAGCGAAAAATAAGGATATTCCCGCTGAGTTATGGATACCCTAATTGCGCTCTTCTCTCTGCTGTTGCCACTTCTTCTCACAAAATGGTAGGATAATCTTAGATCCAAGCAGGATTTCATTTGTTCCACGTTAAGTAGAAACGCTTTAACGGAAACCCCCTGGACAAACAAAATATTTGTTTCAACTTCCACTTTGTTTTTCAACTCTCTTTGTTTTCTTAATAATGAAATTCATAGCTGAATGCCAAATGAGTTCATTTGTTTTGGCACAACTTTTGGTGCTACTTTGTTGGCTTACTTAGGTAACAGTGTGGTTTTTGGGAGTTTTTTAAAGAATTTATTTCTGAAATTATTAGTTTTTAATTGCTTAGAGGAAAATTAAGCACTTAAGAGTTAATTAAAGATGAAAACTAGATTAAATGTTGATAAAAAAAAACTACGTTTTTATAGTCATATTTTACTTTTTAATCATCGAAAATTATTAAAATAATTTCGATTTTACTTAATCTGTTTTGGTTGCTTTTAAACATTTCTTAACCTAATGTCGATACTAAGTAAGCTGCATTTTTTCAACTCTTTATCTCGTCTAACATTTTCTTTCTCGTTTTTATCTCGAACTTTGCCATTTTCTGTGATCATCCGACTAAGACAAATATTTGCTTCTTTTCTGGGTGCCACAAATCTGCTTTCAAATGTAGCGGAATTAACCTCTCAAAAGGAAACATTTCTTTAGCTGAACTTTCCTCTTTTTTTTTTCTGCTAAAAACTTCTCTTGTCTCTGACCAAACATTCATTTTTTTTTTTTATCTTTTGCGGCCACGCAAAGTGGCCTGAAAATATTACACATACGCCCATTGCGCTCTTAGCCCAAAAGTATGCAATGTAAAAATGTTAGGCAGCAGAGAAAGATGCACAGGCACCTAAGTGATGCTAAGCCATGTGTGAGAGCTTTGTCAGTGTCGATGGAACCTTCACCCAAATTAGCCCATGGCCATGTGGCTCTCGAAGATGAAACATTTCATGGGAATCATGCTAAGGAATTCATTAGGCTAAAGAAAAAACGGAAACGATGGGGGTAAATTGAGGCTGTGCCCAACTCAAGCCGCCTGACAAGCTTTGAAGTGTGTCAAGAAAAGGAACAAGTTACTAAATAGGCTGAAAAATATGTCTTGAAACTACCATAAAAAAAAATAAACAGAAATGCCAAAGGGAAATCATGGTAGATAGATTCGCAACTGATGCATATCAAAGTTGGTTTAAAAAGGGCTGTCTCTGCTGAACTCTGTTTAATAATATTTTATAAATTGAAAGAAATATAGTTATGAAAGAGTTAAGTGAGACATTTTAAGAAAAAACACAACTTTAGCCTAATAGAAAAACAGAATATTCATGAAAAGTATTTAGAATCTTGCATATTTATTAACTTGACTAAAAGCTTTAGAGAATTTGATATATGTAACAAATTCAAGGGGGTTAAAATACTTATAACATATTAAAAAAATACCATAAGGTAAGCCAGAAAACTTTCGCATAATAAATTCCGTTTACAATGTCAGAATTATATTACCTCTGCAATACCACTTACTCCTTTCCCTTTCCACTTTCACCCTACTCTCATCATTCTAAACATGATTGATATGCAGCGCACAAAGGAGCCGAACCTTAACAATCCAATTGCAGAAAATGTACCTCAATTTATGTGTGTGCTTATGCATTGCTTACGAATTCAAAAAGGCAAATTTGAATTTTTATTGGATTTACTTCAGCATTTGCCTCTCTTCCAGACACACACACACACACAAACTAACTCTACATATCAAATAAAATATTATTAAATTGAATTTGATTGATTTGATGCTCTCTCTGTGCTAAGTATTTTAAGAGCCAAATGGAATAGGGTTTTTTGATTGAGATGAAAAAGCGCAAATGGCTAATAGATCAAATATTGCAAGCCAATTGGCTTAAGTTTGTTAGTATTCTCCTTGAACTGTTAGCCATAATTGATTAGATTTCTAAAATTTATTTCAAGTTAAAGTGTTTTATAAAAGCACTTAAAAGGCATTTTGTTTGTAGAAAGAAGGCTGGTTTTTATGTGTTTGATTTGGCTTTCATTTTAGTTAAAAAATAAACAAAAATATAAGCCCTCTGAGGTTCATTCTTTTTCTTTGATTTCATTTTCTCTAAAAACTCTAAAACCTTTCATCTAAAAATAAACCTTTCTCTGCAGATTAAATTTCTAATAAATCTTTTCTAACACCTCTACCTGGTCCCAACAGATTCAATTACCAATAATTATTTTTAGACAGCCATCAAAAGTCTATTGAAAAAAGAAATTCCAAACAAAATATTGCAAAACAAGCTCTTAAACCTTTTGGAAATAGTTCTTGCTATTTATTTTCAATTTAGTCTGTACAAAAGCTCTCGAATTGTTTGTCTGAAATTTTAGCTGGTCAAAGCTAAGGATTCAAAGGGATGAGAAAAACAAGTTCCTGGGCGCGGCCAAAATATATATAAAAAAAAAATATATGTATATAAAAATTAGTCTGATATCATGGGGAGTGGTGTTAGTTGCCGCTTTGGGAGTCCTAATAAAAAAATGATGTAATCATAGAAAAGTACTACATTTGGCAAATAGCATGAAATAGTGATGTAATAAAAGGACTTAATTAATCTGAAAGGACACACGAATGTGAAATAAAAACCTAATGTCATAGAATTAAAAGTAATTACTTTCACTTATATTCCAAAAATATCAATTTGACTTTTTACTTTTAACACAAAATATCTTTAATCTTTTTATAACTTAAATTATTAAATATAATACAAGTTTTGATTGAAAAATTCATTTCACATGCCTTAGCTGACTGTATTTCCCCCTCCAAACCATTCTCATTTTATGCTGTTTATAAAATGAAAATCCAAGATAAGAATTTCCATTAAAACTGCAACAGAAATGTCAGAGGCATCAAAAAAGGCGGAGTGAAAGATTCAAAGGAGATGCCTTGAATATTTAATAAGAAATCAAAATAGCTATATACAGAACCATTCATTCACTCACAGCCAAGCTAATTAAATGCAAGGCAGCGCAAAATAAAAAAATATAGAGAGGGAGGGGAAAAAACAGCAAGCTGTCTATATAAATTATGATTATTTTTATGAGCTGGCAGCCACCGCCCCCGTTAACCCCTTGAAAAAGTGATAAATTTAATGCAAAAAAACGTTTCCCTTTTTGTTGCAGCTGCAGTCCTTGGCCAGCTGGACAGTAGCAGTATTGGGGGGAGTGGCATTGGCATACCGCCTCCCGATAAACCGCCCACACCACCCCTCACCCTGCGACCGTCGACGCCATCAATAACGCATTTTGTAAATGACTCCTTCATCATCTTCTGCCAGACAGTACAAAAGGATATCGACACCAAGTGGCGTGATCCCCGCGGACAGACCCGTGAGAATACCAAGGGACGAGTCCACATCGAGAAGAAGACGACGGGTAAGTGGTGAAGTAATGACCCAGCCCAGTGGATAAAGTCACTGGTAACTGCAATTTACACGAAGAGAAACTTGAACTCGACCTGGATATGAATAATGTTTGGCTCCCTAAATCATTCCCAAAATAGGAAGCTATAAAGAGTTTCCAAGTTTACTATAAGACTTGGTAGTTCATAAATAAGTGGAGGTCTTGGAAAGTTCTTAGAATATCAGTTATATGTATTCTTTAAGGCATAACCAATTTCTCCCTGTCTTTGTGATTTGTTTTAGGACTTCTGGCTTTAGTTTTCGAGCACATCTCATTGGAGGACAGGGGAAACTGGACTTGCGAGGTGAACGGGAACCGAAATGGGAATAGGAATGTGAATGTTGAACGTGAATTTTTGGCCTCCTTCGAGCTGCTTGTAAATCGTAAGTTGACTTCAGCTTTGGGGACTTAAAAAACATAAAAGATACGGGGTCGTAAAAGCTACAGCCGGATCTGTATTTACTTGCTTTTTCAGTTGTGATTTGGTCTCAGCTTGGGTAAGACTGCCAATTTCAGTTTAGTTTTAATTTTTCTTTAGAATGTTCTTCAAGCAAAATGAACTAACGAATAGATAAGCTTTGGGTTTAAAAACTTAAATCATTTCGAATAACTTGGAAATCAATACGGAAATAAAGGAACTCACTCTTCTTTCTATCGTATTTACAAATTCAACTTGACAATATTGGTTTTGCAGTTTTGCCTTTACAAAAAAAAGGTCAATTTCATTCAGCATCTTCATTTGCAATTTAACCACTTTGCCACAATCCACTTGACCACTTTTTGCACAAAATTCCGGAACAATTTCCGTCTGACAAATCATTTAATGTATTTACAAATCAGAATGAGTGCTTTGCTAGCCACATTTAAAGTAACTCGATGAACTAGCACACAATTTGTCAACTTACCAATCAAAGAGAGACCAAGTAAACAGAAGCAGCAAAGAAGCTGGTTAGTTATATATACTATACTATACTATACTGTATATATAGTGGATAGAAGGGGGTATCATGCCTGCATATTTACACACGGAATTTGAACAACACACCCCATTTCCTCTTTACCCCCCCCACATTCCCTACTTGACCCGCAGAGAAAATCTCATTTGGCAAGACGGAGCAAGTGCAGTCGGTGCGCGAGGGACGCGATGCGCTGGTCAATTGCTTTGTGGAGGGAATGCCCCCGCCGGAGGTCTCCTGGCTGTACAATGGAGAATATATAAGCAGTAAGTTGCCAATTGGAAAATAGTTCTTATAGAGGTTTACTTACTTCTATTTAGTTGTGCTTATTTATATTTTCTTTTATTTTTAATATTTATTTAAATTATTTACAAAACTAAGACTTAAAAGCCTTAACATGAACTGTAGCTTACAAATTTTATAAAAATTAACTTTTAAACTGATTTATATTTAGTTTACAAAGCTCTTTTATTTACCCAATTTAAGTTCTTAATCACTTTAAATTCAAAGGCTATTTACTGAGATTTACTTAGTTTAATTTTGAGCATGCACTCCATGCCGCTGGATTGCCAAACTTGTTAGCCATGCAACTATATCCCCTTCGATTTTGACCATATATAACCAACACCACCTCCAACCCACCTCCCTTTCCTTTGTTTGTTGCTTGCAGCTGTAAACTCTTCGAAGCACAATCGCCTGTCCAACGGTCTGTACATCAGGAATGTAAGCCAGGCGGATGCCGGGGAGTATACTTGTCGGGCCATGCGTATAACACCGACTTTTTCGGATTCCGATCAAATAACGATATTGCTAAGGATACAACGTAAGTGTCATTGTCCCCCACTCCATAACCATACTTAGTTTTTGCTCACTCTGCAGGATACCCGCACACAGGACGTGCCACACTCGATAATATTTAATCTTGAATTTATTTTGCACCTCCCACTTGTTGGCAATTGCATTTGGCTGCCGTTGCCATTTTTCTCTCTTTCTCGTTTTTTTTTTTAGTTTTTCTAAGAATCGGAGGAGAGGTTTCTGTGCAACAAAATCTTTTGCTGATGGCAGCTTAAAGTTGTTTAAATCCCCTCCGATTTTTCCCCCTTGGGGAATGAACATGCTTCGTTGACTTTAATGAGATTTCCAGCTTCGAGCAAAATTCCCCGATTGAAGTTATATCCCCTCAGCACTGAGTAAGGGGAATATCATCCGGATGTCAGGGTCAAGTGGCTGGGAAATGCAAATTATTGATGCAAATTTCCTAATGAACATATTACCCGTCTTACGATTTAGGGCAAAAGGGGATTTCAAATCAAGAGCAATACGGATTCCTTGGGAAAATTGAGTATCCAACTTGCTAGCAGGGGAATTGCAATGAAGGAGCTGAAGTAATTACTTATGTTAGGACTTATATATATGTACATTTCAAGAAGGATTCATATAAACACCGTTCTAAGTCGGTTATCATCCTTTTTGGAAATAAAATATTTTACTTGCACTCATAAAAGCTGATAAGTAAGGATTGAGGACTTCATATTCCTCTCTTTCTCGAATTCCCAACTTTGTTTATTAGAAGCTAATAATTTCTGGTATTTGCCAAACCAAAAAATAAAAAACCTTCTCCTGAGAGTCATTTGTAAAGCTGACACTGCCAGGTTCCAGCCATCAATATCGAAACATATGGCCTCGTAAACAAAGCAACACCAAGGCGAACCAAATATGCAGAAGCTGGGTCCAGGTCCACTTCATCCAAGCTCATCGAGCAGCTTCCTCAGATTCTCGTCGGAATTGAGTTGCCGTCAAAATTTTACTAATGACTGCCGTTCGAATATTTGCACAAGTCAACTTGAGTACACTTCAAAAAATTAAAACTTGCACTTAAAATCAAGAATTTTATAGATCGATTAATCACATTCAAAATTGTTAACGCACATGAATTGGAAAATTAATAAATAAATATGAAAAATATAAAATAAATTAAAATTATTGCCCAAGTGATGTGTGCAAGGCTTCCCTTTCATTATTATCAAACAAAAAATCAAAAGGAGGGTAATTCTTCTTAAAAGACTTTATTACAAAGACCAAGATTTTTCTTCGAGTGCAGCTAGAGCCACCCAAGCGGACCAATCCGTCGGGCAGTTGGCAACTGAAAGGCAAACAGCAGGCGAATGGAAACCGAAACTAATTTGCTGCCCAGCAGAAAATCCCCAGGAAGGGAATTCCGAGTGGGAACTGAAACTGAAACAGAAACAGAAACAATAGCAGGGAGCAGCAGTTGAATTGCTGCAAATTCTGTAATATATAGGTTTGCATTTTCCCCAGCAATAAACTGCAATGGACCGCATCGGCGACGATGGCGACAAGGACACCAAGGACACTCGGCCAAACGACGAAATGCTAAAATTTGCTATTAGCTGGCGCCTCAATGGAAAAGGGGAAGGCGGGTAGGGTGATGGATTGTGGCCTTTCGAGTCCTTGGGCAACACACAGTTTACAGTGGGAGGCACATGAGCTATTGAAATTTAATTGCTTTGACTGTTTAGTTTATGTTTGTTATTAGTAAAGTTTATATGAGCACTGCAGGGGTGATGTATCACTGATAGTTTATGTTTTAAAAGTTTAAATAATACAAAGAAAATGTTTTAAGAAGATAAATTCCTGAAAGACGTTTCGAATTTATTTCAATTTAGAATATTTCCTTCTCTTGATCCACTTTTTATAGACTCAATGGCCAACGACTTACCAGAATGCAAGAGAAAAGTTTTTGCAGAAAGGCAAGGAAAGCGAGAAAAATGCCATTCGCAGAAGGGTAATTCAATTTCCCGATACAGTGTTTGGTTTTCATTGCTATCCATTCCTCGACTCAAGGCTGAAACCATTTCCTTGTTGATATTTTTTTTTAGCTGGTGATGGAGGAGAAAGTAAGGGAAAGGCAGAAATCTATTGTTCTTGTGATTTGATTATTGCGGTTTCATGCACTTCACTTTGTACAGGCGGCAAAGGAGTCAATATTGTTTCAGTTTTTTTTTAGTATTTATTAAGTCTTTCTTGTTTTTATTTTAAAAACTTTAAGAAAGTCTTCTATTGTTGTATTTTTTCTTTACATTCGTTTAAGAAAAGTGCTTAACCTACGCGGTTCAAGGAAAATTCTTAACCAAAATTTGTTGTCAGTGACAGGACTTCGGCTCAGACAACAACAAAGTGCAACAGATATCCTTTCTCCTATTTTTTTTCACTTTTCCAGGAGGGTGTGCGGGTGTAAGGCACACAAAACCAGGCCGAAGTTTCTGGCTACTCAGCATGCGGGCACAAAAACCGTACACCAAGAGAAAATCTTGTTACCTTTAAAAATGTAAGGAACTTCCAAGATTATATGCCATAAGATAGCACTGTATTGGAGGAATAATCTACGAGTTTAAAGACCTTCCATTTATTTAAGTTTCACAAGTCCAAAGTGTTCCGTAAAACCATTTCTCTTTAGTGAAAAATCATGTTGATCCTAAAAAATCCAACGTTTTTCCTTATAGAAAACTCTCAACTATCACGTTTTTCACAAGTGCCATAAATCTCTAAATCAGTTTTCATATTTTCTACCCAAACCCTTTACAGATAAGCCCCATTGGTTCTTCAACGAGACCCTGCCCGTTCAGTATGCCTATGTGGGCGGAGCTGTAAACCTGAGCTGCGATGCTATGGGAGAGCCGCCACCATCTTTTACTTGGCTGCACAATGGCAAGGGCATTGTAGGTTTTAATCATCGCATATTCGTGGCCGACTATGGTGCCACGTTGCAGTTGCATGTAAAGAATGTCTCGCAGTTCGGAGACTATAAGTGCAAGGTGGCCAATCCGTTGGGAATGCTCGAAAGGGTCATCAAACTAAGAACGGGAGCCAAACCATGGGGTCCCACGCGATTCCAGCTAAAAAAGCTCTATACAGATGGCTTCGAACTGGATATACGAACGCCAAGAATGACCAATGTCTCGGATGAGATGCAGATCTATGGTTACAGGGTGGCCTACATGAGCGACATCGAGTTCAAGTTCAGTGCTGGCAATTGGAGCTATGCCAAGCAGAGGGACTTCTCCTTTCATAGGGGTAGGTAGTTAGGTGTTGTAAATTTATATAAATTGAGATATTTACTTTACTTTATTAATCAAGAACAGAGTAGTTTTCTATGTATAACAATATTCATTTGCCTTTTGTTCATAATTGCTCATAATCTGAAATCCATTTCCATAAAATTTTTACAAATATCTTTCAGTTGACTTAACACAAATCCGTTTTAATTTTAATTTAATTAATTTTTATATACATTTAAATGCTTCTAATTGCCTAATGACTTTTGTAAACTACACTTTTCCAGGTCAGCGCTTCATTATCCCGCACTTGGAGTCGAACACCACGTACTTGATGAGGGCGGCCAGTCGAAATCTTGCCGGACTAAGTGACTGGAGTGCCGTGAAGGTGTTTACCACAGCAGCTGGTTGCAGCTGGAATCCGTCGCTATATCCAATATACGCAATCATCCTTGCTTTGATCTTTACATAGACAAATACCAAAAATATAGAAAGACCCCAAAAATCCCCAAAAACTCGTTATTGTTGCTGCTGAGTTTTCTATTTTCTTGTATCTTCTGTGATAGAACTTTGTGTGTGCAATTCACTTAAACCTAATCCAAGTATGTTTAGAGAAAAAAGGAAATTATTAAACGAAATGCTTTTTGCTATATATAGAGACGATATTTGTTCCAGCCTATTGCCAATTTTTGCTGCCAATTTTCATTCATCAAACGCATTTTTTGTACGTTTTTTATGAGAACAAAAAGAAACCTATTAACGAACGATTTTGAAAAGAGAAAGAGTGGAATCCTTACGATACATACAATACATATGCATTGTCAACTCTACCTTATAGTTAAATATGAAATGCCCAACTCTACATAAATGTTGTTCAAGCTAAAAAAAAAAAAGAAAAACGATTTACAAGTAAACACACAAAAAAAAACAAACAAACCGAAAACTTTGATGAATTTTACAAAAACCACAAATGGAAGTCCAAATTATTGATTATAAATTGAAATGAAAGCAAAGTAAATCAATAATAGAGAATGGATTGAATTAGCTTAATTGAAGTGTAAAACGAAAAAAGGAAAAACGAAAACCAGAAACGAGAAACAAACCCCTAAAATGAAATGTTTAGCTGGTAAGCAGTGCGTATGAGTAATATGAAAATAAATTCAACTGAATGTGTATAAAAAGCGACTTTGATGTTGATCTGAGCTTGTTTTTCTCTAATAAATTAGGGTTTTCACTTAAGGGGGCCAACGGAAGGTGAGTTCATGATAAATAAGAAAAGAACTTTGAAATTTTGAATAGCTTTTAAGTAATCATAAAAACATGAATTTTATCCATGATTTTTAGACATTTAAACAGGTCAACTACTTTCTTTTTAATAACTAACAAAAGAAGTACCTTAAACACATTTTGTGATACTAATTTTAGTCACCTTCTTCAAATCACATAACTCCCATTTCCTAACTCAACTGTTGAATAACTTCCTGTCTTTACCCTTCATTAAGGTGCCTCCCTTGATGATTATCTGCTGACCTTTGTTTGTCACCAAGGGCCATAAAAATGTTTATCATATTCATTAGTGTAAATCTTGTATTGCTCTCGGCCCATAAACATCCCTGACCAGCTTATTTCGTATGCCAGACACGCGCCCAATTACAAGGATATTTCCCAGCAAACTCTCTCCCCCCTCTGAGGCATTTACCCCCTTTTTTTCGGGGGGGCAATAAAAAAAATGAACATAATAAACTAACTCATAAAAGTCAATAAACTGTCAAATGGCAAAACATTTACATCACTTAAGCATAAATCTCTCGCCCTTCCGGACACTTTGTCCCGTGTACATCCTTCGAATGGCAAATGGCAGGAGGATTCGAGGACCATTTACATAAGCCCACAAATTCGCCCATCTATAAATGATCAATAATGCAATCGGCCGTAATAACTTATTGTATTTTATTTAACTTTTATTTTCTGCGTGTGTACGAAAAAATACAAAAAAAAAGCAACGTTACGGAAAATTGTTACGGGTCAGTGCAAATTTCCACGCAGACGTGACAACGTGAAACAAAAATAAGCAAATTATGGCGGACAAATAAATACAATTCATTGCGCTTGTGTTTGCCAGGCAATTCATTGTGTGAATGTGCCACGCCCACATGTGCACAGTGCCAGATTATTAACGCACGATTTATTGTCCCTTTTTTTCTTCTGTGCCAGCCAAAGGATGATGAAAGGCTGTGTTTCTGGATTTTATCGAAGGTAATCTGTAAGGGAATTTTAATTTAAGGGAGGGGCTTAAAGCGGGTTATCCATATAAGTTGAGGAAGTTCTCGATGAAAGGGTTGCTATCTTAGATATTTCATACTTTAATAATCCCGAAATCCGATTAATTAAAACCTCTCTTAATATTCTCAAGTGGAAAGCAATCAGCAAAAGTAGCCTTAACTCCCCCCATCATGTATGTCTCAATGGAACATATGAAATTAATCGGTCCTGCCGCAACAATCACTTAATGGTCGATATTTAACCTGTTTCCATATCGGCCACGCCCACTTTAAGTCATAAGTTAAACAACTGATCAAAGTCGGCCAGAATATGGTGGAAGATGTCAGTTGCAGTTGCAGTTGCAGTTGCAATTCCCAGCTGCAGTTGCAATCTTTCATTATTTATTATTGTTTTTACTTTGCCGAGGCCCGGACTCGTCTTTTACCTGGCAATTAATGGGATTTTCCATATAAGTATATATACATATTTGGGTAATGTGTGTGATGGGTGAATATTCAGTGGGTGGTATAAAATCGGTAAACATTATTACCTGCCCATCAGAAGCAGGAAAGTTTGCCGGTCAATCTCGCCACGCTCTCTCTCTCTCTCTCTGTTGTGTCCGTAATCGTTTCGGTTTATTTTAATTAAAATTTACAATTAATACTTAATGAGTCGGGCGAGTGACATCAACAGCAGCAGCAGCAGCAGAAACGCAACTGCAGAAACATCAAATTGAATTTTCCACATAAGACTGTTTCTGTGTGAGTGGCATGTGGCAGCATCAGCAAAGTGTGTATGATAATTTTTGGAAAAGTAATTTCCAACCAACACACAGCTCATTTCTATATATGTATAAACAAATACGCATAAAGGTATTTAAATAAATATTATATATACCTGAAGATATCTTCTTTCAATCGCCCGCATTTTCGGTTTCGTTGTATATAAATAATTGAAGTCTGTCAGCAGATTTAATTGATGAAATGGCAAATTGATGTTGCCTCCAGAAGTGCAATGAAAGTGTGAAAGTCGCTGACAGTTTTCTCTTTGTTGAGCTTCAAACAATCTGTTTATCCTTATTCAATATTTATGCTCAAAATGACAGAATTGTTTACGAAAGCTTGAAATTATATTTAGGTAATTGAGATTGATAGTGGCAGGCCAAGTTGGCAGGTCAAGAAGAAGTATTTAGTTGAATAAGTTTTAAGTTTTACAATCAGGTAAAGTGGATTTAGGCAAGGGAAATAGATATATAGTTTATTTAACAAAAATCCAAGTATAACCATTTCCTGTAATCCAATCGCAGAGGGACTTTCTTCCTTTACTCCCCTTATAATTTGTCCGATAAACTTTCCCGGCTTGATTTAATCCCCCGTAGAGCTTAGTAAACCACACATGGGCATAACTTTTCTAATTACCATTTACAGCCTCCGCTAGGTACGTCCAAGTTTCGGCTAAATAAAGACCCATTGGCAAAGTTATGAACAAATCATTAAGCTGTCAATTTTGTGCAGTTTGCCGATAGGTGTAATAAATGAATGGCTCATAAGTAATTTATGCCCAACCAAATGAGACCGGGATAAATTTGAAATTGATTGCAAGGACTTTTTCCCCTGTTTGTGTGTGTTTTCTGATTGAAGTTAAATCTTTGCTGAGGTAACTTAATATTAGCCCCATTGAGAAGTTATGCAATTTTTTTCGGTCTAAACTTTGCCCACACATCTTCTCTTTGGTTCTAACTCTGTTCGGTGTTTGGCAAAAGGAAAATTTTGGAAAAAAACTCAAAACTTTGTCTGGCATTTTTCCGTTTTGGGCAATTAAATGGGAATTTTTGTTTTCCTTTTAACCTTCCTGCCAAATTGATGACAGAAATATCTCCTTCTAGCCTGTGAAAGCCTAAATGGGTCAGAAGTGTGAGTTTTCCTCTTTTTTTTTTGTTTTCTGCAGAATCATCGACATATGCAGGCGACTATGAAACCCCATTTCCCACTACCATTTCCCACACTTCAGTGTCATTGTCTCTGCTTCTGCCACTGTCACTGCTGGCTGTATATTTTGACATAGAAAACTTTTGCACCTTGTAACGACTTTTTAAGTGCCACCACTCACTTTTTTCAAACAGAAATAAAAATGAAAAAAACAAAAAAAATCACAAAGAATGAAATGTGGAGCAAAATGAATATGTAAATCTAGGACTCTTTGGTAACACGAAAACGAAATGAAACAAAAATAGAGGGAAAACGCGTTGGAAATGAAAATAAATGTGAATATTTATGTGATTTATATGGAAGGACGCTTCAACGGGGAGTCTGTATTCTCGCTGGGCATACACACACATGTGCTCGGCAACAGGGGGTTAACAATTTTCAAGGGTTTAAATTTAATGGAAATTCTGCATATGTATGTCAGTGCGTCTGGTTATCTTTTCACGACTATTCCTCTGTCTAGACAAATGAGTAAAACCTTTTGGAAAAATATTTTCCCGAACTGTGCCATTTCGCTGAGCTTAGAAGTTCGTTTTAATTGGTTTTTGGGAATCAATAAGCACCCTTTGGCTGGCCACAAATAAATATTGAATACAGCATTGCATTATACGCTTATTTACTGAACACCATTGTCCAATTCATTTTACCTTATTTGGCATTTTGGCATTACGCATACGCCGCATGGACCAAAGCACATTAATTGAATAACTCTTTGGGCGGAAACACAACCACCCAACCACATTGCCATTTTTAGGTTGTTTTATATGTCTATTTGTGTTCATGGTTTTTAGTTTGGAATGAGCTTTTGTATCATTCCCTCATTATGCAAATGGTTGCTCTTTAAGTGCACTAAATATTACGCATACGCTGCGTGTGCCAATGGCGTAGAATAACCAAAAATTCATTCGGCCTATTTGTATATGTACTTAGTTCAATATTTTATTTTCATACAAAGTTCAAATGTTGCTCTATATGCACTAAATGCGCAAATGTTCGAAAAATTCAAAAATGTTAATGAGAAATGCATTTCCCTTTGCTAGCGAAAACTGAACAAACAACTTTAATGATAAAGAGCTGTAATGAGGAATATGGTGTATGGTGTGTTTATCAGAGGATGCTATCAAATAAAAAATTTTTATTATATTTTATTTTCTTGTAGGTAACCAAAGGGAGCCTAGTAAATGAAAGGAATCTCATTGGTATTTATTAAAAATGTTAAAACAAAAAGCCAAAATATTTCTGGGTATCAAAGCTACACGAAAACACGATATTTTACATAATTATTTTTCCTATATAAATATGTGCCAATGTAAGGTAGACATTACCAAAGGTAGTCCCAAAAAACTATTTCAAATTCTTATATAAAATTTATAGAAAATTCCAGCTTGAGTTTACATTCCGTTTATTGTTTATTTGCCGAATAATTAATTTAAAATTAATTTGTTTTTAATCGCGCATGTTTCGTGACTGGCAAAGTGAAAGGCATTCCAGGATAAATTCCACATGTAGGCAAACAAATGATGGCGCATTAAAAATGTAAAGGTAATCACGATGCTAATGACATCGGCGTCGGACAAAAGACGGACGGACAATGGAGTTGGCTTTTGTATTGGGACCTGTGTTTCAGGGTAAAACGTAAACAAATTAAGCTATCTGTTACGCCATTTGATTAATTGCAATGCAATGCAATTTCAATTTTTTTGCCATCGCCATCGCCATCGCCTTTTGTGTCCTCATGTCCTGCCATATCATAACTGTCAGCGTCAGGACTGCAGATTGTTCCTGTTACAAGATTTTCTTTTTTCTGTAACCATAGTTCAGTTGACAGCGGTACAAGAAAAAAAATCCACTAAAGAATTGACAGCTCATGGCGAATCCCATGCCCGGCTACACTTTTTGGCCATTTGGCTTGTAGTTATGGCATTCAATGTATATCGA